TTCACTCCTTGACACGTCGGATGCGTTTGTTTGTCGAGGGTGGACATTATATTCCGTCTTTAATGGCTAATCCAACCACCTAAGTCCAATCAAATCTGTTTCAATTACCTTTGACCAATTATAAAACATTGCACGCCAAATACGTACCTCATGGACTGGCATTACATGCGGAGTGATTCATTGCATCTATTTGGGGTTTACCATTTTACCTAATGAGTCGCCACTCCAGGGTTTCATTTCGTCTCTTCATCCTCCACACCCAACTGCTTCTCTTTCTCTTCTTCAACATTCCCCTTTTTAAGTAGTATTTTTTATTTATAACATCAACGGAGGTCGTACTTTTGTGGGCCATGATTCTCTCTTCTTCTCTTTCCATTCTTTAACTATTAGATCAAAATTTGAAGAGTTTAAATTTAATTTCTTATAAAATTATATTAATAATATTAAACTATAAAAATAAATAATTAAATTAAAATTACTAAAATTTAATTTGAAGAGTTTAAAATCATAGTAAATGAAAATTAAAAAAATATTTTATAAAAGATCAAATCTCAATCATCCAAAATTTTAACCTTATAATTAAAAAACGGAAGAGGATGGAAAGGGAAGAGACGAGAATCTCTGCCCCTAAATTTGCATACGGTCACTCTAATCTATTCTACAAATATGTTCAATTTTTCGGTACTTAAAAAAAATAAAAGAAAAAGAAACTGGATGCCTTTGATTTTTTTTTTTTTGTTACGTGCGTGGTCTATTTATATTGGTAGAGGAGCATCTCTGTTTTTTTTTTTTTTAATTTCGTCGCACGTAATAAACATTATTTAGCGTGTGCCCAATGCTGTGTTCATTGTACGTAAATATTGTTAAGTGCATTCAATGCTCTGTTCATTGAACATGAAAAGAAGCTCTCACATATTGTTCATTGAGGGAAACAACGAATGAATTTTGATTTAGCGAGAGGAGAGGGGACTGTGGAGTTCTAGTAAGGAATCATAAAGTCTTAATTAAATATTATCTTATAAAAATAGATATATGTTATTATTAAAAATTGAACCTTAACTTATTAAATTTTTAAAAAAATCTTAACAAAAAATATAAGTTTGGGTTCAACTTTTAACAACAATAAATACATGTTTAGTTATTTTTACAAGACAATATTCAATTGAGAACTTGTAGGTTATTGTTGGGATAAAATTTCTTGAGATGACCTTAAATGTCATTTCTCTTATACATATGGAAAAATTTATTTAAAAAAGAAGTGTTTATTACACGAAAAAAAAATTACACATTCCTTTCTGACCCAAAAAAAAAAATTACATATTCCTTTTATTCATAATTTCCCTTTCCCCGTATATCAACCCCCTTTATTGAGCGACGAACCAACGGCGTTTCCTTGAAGTAAATTATTTGATAATATACCATTTACGCACCTTTAAATAAGGCATTTTTGGAGGAACATTTTTTTTTAACCAGGTTTTTTACAGGAATATTTGATCCACGTAAATAAGACACTTGAATAAGTATTAGTTTTTCTAATATTGTCTTCCTTTAACGCGGGTGGTTTTTCTTCTTGATTTTACTCATTTTTCCATTGATACGTGAGTTTAAACATGGAATGGAATACAAAGGTTAGAATTGCTTTATAAAAAAGAATATACTCTAATAGAACATATATTATTTTTTATTCATCATAAGCCTAACCATGCATGGAGTTGAGGAAACTAAAGCCTGAATGCATGAAGCATTAAATGGATATAATATTTATTCAATATTCATTCCCTTTCTAATTTTTTATTGCCAAAATAAAACAATTGATTTGCAATTGATGCTGTTTGATATTCGCAGCGCTACCATATTTCAATTTATTTCCTGGCGAATTTTTTGGGGCTCACATATACTGTTGTATATAAGGTATTTTTAAAAAAATAGTATTCTTAAATATAAGAGGTATTATTATATTTTTAAATAATTATATAATTTTGTCTTTGTTTTATAACAAAAAGATATTAATTGTGTGCTTTATGGCTTTACCCACCACCATCATAATATTAATTAAATTTGTAGGAGCAAAATTAAAAAATTACTGATTTAATGAGATTTCAATTAAATAATAAATTTTTATTAATATATATAATTCAGTTAAAAATACTTTATATGTATATAGGAGGGATGTATTATTATTTTGGGACTCAATTAATTTCATTCCTTCTACTATCATAACTGTCTTGTATTTTGTATTTGATATCTAACAGCTTTGGAAAAACAGGCAGCTTCGCCCATATGGGCTGCCTTTAAGTTTAATTTTTTATTTGTCACCCTTTTTTTAAGATCTGACTCTTATTTGAAGGATTTAATGCTAAGCTCGTAAGTTTTGTTTTGAAAAAAATTAAAAATAAAATAAAAAACACTATAAATTAATTACAATATTTTAAAATTTAAAAAAGTAAAAATTTTTGTAATTTTTTAGAAATTAAACAATATACATTTAGAACTCTAGTAAGAAAATTTAAATCTTGATTAAAAAAGGTTTATTTTTATAAATACATAAACATAATAATTATAAAAAAATAAAAAATATTAAAAATTTTATACTGTCAACTAATATTTATTAAAGTATATTAAATTAATTTTAGAATAAATAAAAATAAATAATAATGTAACGTATGTAGGATTAGGGTTTCAGGCGAACAGGTCCTTCTTGACTTCAAATACACGATCCACAAAATAATAATAATAATAATAATAATAATAATAATAATAATAATATAACGGGCTTGAAGGGCCGCTCGAGTTCGAGCCTGGGTCTTTTTTTATAAGACTTATTTGGATCAGGTCCTCAAACTCAATTATTTTAAAAAAATAATTTTTAAAATCTAAACTTTTATTTAAACAAGGTCTTTAGACCTAGCCCTTTAAGTCCGATTTTTATTCTCAATTTTACTAACAGACTGTGTGAGAATGTTAACAGCATCTCTCTGTATAGTTAATGTCTCAATTGCTTGTCCAACAATTTCAGATCGATTAAACAACAACGAAGGATCAATTACCAGCGGGAGAAAGCACGAATGATTGTTAATGTCGTTAGTGCCCGGTCATCAATTTCTGATTAAAGAATAATTAAGGTTTTCATGTCAACAACAACTTTTTTTAAAAAAATAAAAATAACGACGAGAGTAAGAGCGTGCAAATTAAAACAATGAAGAGTTATTCTCAATAAAAACCACAGTATTTTTTTGTTTGTACAAGTTCAATAAAAACGACGTTAATTAACAGTGGTGGACATTATTGTCCAGATCAACCTTTTTATTTATACATACCTCAATCTGCAATAAAGCTCAGTAAAAAAAAAAAAGTAAAAGAAAAAAGTAGCAGTGTCTCATGCACCGTATGTAAGTTCTCGATCACGCACAAGGTTGCTCTTAATTACCTCACCAAAATACGGATTCTCTATAAATGGAAGGCACATGTGCCTCAGCCGTTCTCAGAGAGAGGGAGAGAGGGAGGGAGAGACAACAATCTCTCCCAAATGATAAATGAGGCCAAAATTGTAGGACTTTCATAAACCGTTTTCCAATAAATGTGAGTACTCATGGCTTCTGATGCTCGGTCAACTTTCACCTCATTATTGTATATCTTCCCTCCCTCTTCTCACTTTTCGGACCCCCCCCCCCCAAAAAAAAAAAAAGCGAAAAGAAACCCAAAGATCAAGATACAATTTCAATCATTAATAATTGCTGGTAAAAAAAATCATTGATAATTAACATTTTAGTTAAATTGTGATAATTGACCATGAATAATACATTTCTTTGAACTGATTAAGATATTTAATCAATAATTTATCAAATAAAAAATAATTTTTGATTCTTGCATTCTACTCATATTTTATTATAAATTCTTGTATTTTTTTTTGATATCCTTACATTTTATTCATTGAAGAATTTAAAATATTAAAAAAAAGTAAAAAAATTTATAACAAAATATGAATAAAGTGTATGGATTAAAACTTATGTTTTTTCATTTTTATCAAATCAACTGATTGAATTGACTACGTTTTTAGTATCATGTTTTTTATTTTTATTTTTTTACAGAAGCTCTTCACCCCGCCATTCATGATTTTTCTGGGGCATAGCGTCTCAAGTAATGACAAAATCTTCAGCTAGCGATAAATCTTAATTCTTAACTCCAGATATTTTATTCTTCAAGCACATCAACTTCCCATATCATGTGAAGCTCGAGATAAAAAGTGACTGCATCACAATTCACACCCACTGGGCCGTCGTGGGAGGCAGCGACGGTTACGGAGTGCAGGGCCGCGTCTATTTTCATAGACCCTGGTAGAAACATAATCCACATCATAATGACCGATGCTCTAATTTAATTTTCAAGATTTGGTACAGAAAAATTGTAATCATAAAATGTTCTTGGGTTGCACTTTCTATAAAATTTCCTTTTATACGAAATACTATAACTGAAAATTTTGAAAATTGGTAACCAAGTAACTGTTTATCTGTTTAGTCATTTTTCACCTAAAGGCAAGGTGAATCCCTAGTTTTCACTCGTACTCCGCTCTACTGAGTGATTTTATTTTAATCCAACAAAATACTTTGCAATATTTATAAAATAGAATATCCTTAAATAATAAAATCGTCCCTGCATCAAAACTGAAATAAGAAAAAAGAAAATTAAAATGAAAATTGATTGAAATATTGAAAATTGAATCCATCAAGACGTTAATAGTTAAAATTGTGACTTAGTTAATTATCAACAAAATATTTTGATTGAATCAATAAAACAATTAGCTTAATAATTTAATGATTTAATCAACCAAGTAAACTCAGATTTCAATACATAAATTAAGACTTGATTGATGCTAGTGCTTTTTTGGCACCATACCGAATAAAATTTTAATCTAATGAAATTAAATTAAATAATACATAAAAGAAAGAGAAAAACGTAGAATTCATGAGCGAAAATCGACTATAAATTAATCCCTACTCTCTCTCTCCATCTATTGCCCCCTTCTCTCACTCCCCTTCCTCTGCTATGCTCTGTCTCTGTTTCTCTCTGATAGAGAAGAGAGAGAAGCATTGTGTGGCAGTGGTAGTTGTAGCGAGGTACCTTTTCTTCGTCTGAGAGAGGTGGCTTTCATCTTCTACCTTCCGCAATTTCTTCTCCCTTTTGTTTTCTTCTCAGATAGTACTAGCCAATTCCATCTAAAATGGTCGAAGCCGAACCCAAATTCTTCATGCCGGACACAATCCGAAGTGCGAGTTACGACCTCGCGGGACAGATTAAGCTCATATGGGAAGTGGTCAAAACTCCATTAATTGTGCCACTTCTGAACCTTGGAGTCTACATTTGCTTGGCAATGTCTCTCATGCTCTTCATCGAGAGGCTGTATATGGGAGTCGTCATCATCCTCGTCAAGCTGTTCTGGAAAAAACCAGAACAGCGTTACAGATACGAGCCTATTCAAGACGATGTTGAATTGGGGTCCTCCAATTTCCCAGTCGTTCTTGTCCAAATCCCAATGTTCAATGAAAGAGAGGTTAGAATTGATGATATTCTGTTTGTTAGCTTTTCTTTTCTGCGGAAGGAGAAAACTCTTAATTAGAATTAATTGGATGTCCCAATGTTCAATGTTCAATGAGAAAACTTTGAAATCTTCTTTTGTCGGTTTATGCATTGGGTGGTTTCTGGGTCAGGTTTACAAGGTCTCCATTGGAGCAGCTTGCGGGCTTTCATGGCCCTCGGACCGTCTGGTGATCCAAGTCCTCGATGATTCTACTGACCCGGCTATCAAGGTACTTCAAATCTTTCAGAAAGAAAAGCAAACAATCATTTAGTGTAGCCTCATGAATGTTTAGCCATTTCAAGTTTCGGTTTCAAATCCCAAGACAATGAGAAAAAAAAAGAGGGAGTGAGACTTTCTCCGAGATGTTGATGGTTTTGGAGCATTGTTGCAGTCTCACTGCCATGATTGTTTTTCTATGCAAATTCCCAAAATTGACGAACTCTACGCATGGAATCTCTGCAATATTTTGTGGTTTGGATTTTGCTGAAACATTCAGTTTGGAATTACAGCAACTGGTGGAGCAAGAGTGCCTGAGATGGGCAAGCAAAGGGGTAAACATAACGTATCAAATACGGGAGAACAGAACTGGATATAAAGCCGGTGCGCTGAAAGAAGGGCTCAAGCGAAGCTACGTGAAACACTGCGAGTATGTGGCCATTTTCGACGCCGACTTCAGGCCGGAGCCGGACTTTCTCCGGCGAGCCATTCCCTTCTTGGATGGCAACCCCGACCTGGCTCTGGTTCAAGCACGCTGGAGATTCGGTAAGCTAAGCAAAGCCCAGTAAATTGTTTCACCATTTTGCTTTTTTATCAACTGTCGTTAACTTTTGCTTCATCTGTCAAATTAACCGTGTCGGTGGTGGTGGCATTTCGAGTTTTGCTTAGTAAAACTAATTTCGGCTAGTCTTTGTACTTTTTTTCCTCTTGTAACTTTGTTTTGGTTATCATGAACTTATTTTATATTATATTTTCTACTAAGAATAACAAAGCGGGAACCCTCGCATCTGATTGGGTGAGGTTTTATATTTTGCTTTTTTATTCCCCCCCCTCATAATTTATGTGCTATTTTTCGTGGTTTTTTAACATTTATTTTGGAAAGGATTTTTGCGATCAAACTTCTTGAAATGACTCGATTGTCCTTGTCAATGTCATCGTTGGGGCGGGTGAGACGGTCCCATGGTGATCCACATCGACAACTGGCGGGTGAGGCGGTCCCATGGTGATCCACATCGTCGTTGTCGATGTGGCATATTCCTCGAACTTACGGGCAGAAACTGCGACGGTCGTTGCGGGGCAGTCGTGTCATTTCATTTCCTAGCGTGAGAAAGAAGGAGGATGTATGCAGAATGCCGGCTTACTAATTATTAATTATACGAACCAACCAGCTTTTGCAGCTACAATGCTATCGGGGCAAAATTGTCCTTTCATTTCCATCCAAAACTGCAAACTCAGCTCTAATCCCCATCTCAGGCCAAAAAAAAAAAAAAGAAGCTCTGAGGCCCATCCCACGTGTTTTCAGAATTAGATAACACTGTTGGCTGCCCATGTGAATGACGGTGGACCTCACCCTTTCTTTTGCCGACACTTCCCATTCATATCTATGATGACGTGGCATTTTACTGTTTGAGTCGCATGGGAACAAGGAGCGTAATTTGACTTCATAGAGTACCAGCTTTTAACGGCCCTCTTTTGATCAATTTTTAGTTTCTTGGCCTATAAATTTTGATAGAAACGACAAAGAAAAGTGAAAGAAAATGTTGAATGTTGATTGAGCAAGAGAAAAAAAAATCATAAATGTGCGGTTTTTGGACAGTGAATTCGGACGAATGTATACTAACGAGAATGCAAGAGATGTCTCTGGATTACCATTTCACAGTGGAGCAAGAAGTTGGGTCAGCTACTCATGCCTTCTTTGGCTTTAATGGTATTTTAATTGGCTCTCCCTCATTCATTAGCAGACACTTCTGCGACATCATTCACAACGATATTTAATGTTTGGCTACTTTCGTTTCATGCTTACGTCAAGGTCATTAATAAGATAATTCCTGTTTCGGAATTATAAATGCAGGCACAGCAGGCGTTTGGAGAATTGCTGCTATCAATGAAGCAGGAGGTTGGAAAGACAGGACAACTGTGGAAGACATGGATCTTGCAGTTCGTGCTAGCCTTAGAGGTTGGAAATTTCTCTACCTTGGTGACCTCCAGGTATTCTTTCTGCTCAACACATTATATATACATGCAAACATAATACATGTATGTGTGAGTGTCTATATATAGTGATTGATATTGGTGGTTAGCTTTAATTTTGAATCACCGTTTAGGCAAAGAGTGAGCTTCCCAGTACATTAAGGGCCTTCCGTTTTCAGCAACATCGATGGTCTTGTGGTCCTGCTAATCTTTTCCGCAAAATGGTGATGGAGATTGTCAGGAACAAGGTTAGGTTTTTCAGCAACATGATACTATGGAGAGGGGACATGGGGATTAAATCGAAGAAACTTGCTGATTTTTCTTTTTATGGTACACAATTTGATCATGCAGAAAGTGAAGTTTTGGAAGAAAGTGTATGTGATATATAGCTTCTTCTTTGTACGTAAAATCATAGCCCATATGGTGACCTTCTTCTTCTACTGTGTGGCGCTTCCCCTCACAATTTTAGTCCCTGAGGTTCATGTTCCAATATGGGGAGCTGTTTACATTCCTTCCATCATCACCATCCTCAATTCAGTGGGAACTCCAAGGTCTCAGTAATTACTTGCTTCAAATTCTGTCTTAAGTTCAGTCCTTTCGTTTCAAGTTTCGCCAATCACATTTTTGAACTTTGGCAGGTCCATTCACTTATTGTTCTACTGGATCCTCTTTGAGAATGTCATGTCTCTGCATCGTACCAAAGCTACTTTTATAGGTTTGCTGGAAGCTGGGAGAGCTAATGAGTGGGTTGTCACTGCAAAACTTGGAGACTCCGTGAATAATAAGAACAAAGCAGATGCTGTTAAGAACAAGATAAATGTCACCAAGCCTATCAAAAAACCCCGACTCAAATTAGCCGAAAGGTCAAGTTATTTATCCTCGACATCATGAATATTTTGGTCTTTTAATGATAGATTCTTCATAAATTTGATCGCTATAGTTTCACTGTCTTATTTCAGTCATTTAAAAAGTATTTGTGTTTTCAATATTGCCCTCATATCAGTTTCTCTACGGGAGATTAATGCCACAATTTAATGGGAAACCATCAATAAAACACAAACAGTCATAAGAGAGTAATGTACTACTTGAAATAGCCGCAATACCATACTGTTTTAATTCTCCGTCAGGACGCGCTTTAGTTATGACTGAGTATTTAGTGGCCAGATCAGTTTCATGTTAAGCCATGCCATTTATTTTCATTCACAAGGCTAACTGTGGATATTGACGCTCATTGTTGAACACGAACAGGTTTAATTTACTAGAGCTGGGATTTGCAGTCTTCCTCTTCTTTTGTGGATGTTATGATTATGTACATGGGAAGAACAACTACTTTGTGTACCTCTTCCTTCAGACCATAACATTTTCCATCGTTGGATTTGGCTATGTTGGCACCATTGTGTGAAGCTCTTGATCAGAGTCCGTCGGCATCTCCAGAGCTGTAGTTTTAAGTTTTACATGTGTCTCAAACAAATGCATAGAGGGTTGATTTCTTTTAGAAACAAATCTATGCACCAAACCATGAATTATTTTTTTGGCAAGAGAAGTTCTTCCCCAAGATCCTAAGCTATCAAAGTCAAGAAGATTCTCAGAAATCACAGACAGATATTACTATTATTGTTTCCAGAAAGCATTACATAGACCTGAGGCAAGGAAGATGACCTTCCAAAATGTGCTTCATTAGAGTTTTTAGTTTAGTAGATAATGTCCTTTTGTTTCCATAGATTGTTCTATGAGAATTTGTACTTATTTCATGATCCTCTATATAAGCTTTGGTTTTGGTCAATTGGAGCCCTCGGATCTGCTGGATAATATAGGTGAACTTGAAATGAATTATATAAGTTTTGTTTTCATCATATATATAGATATACCATGCTCTCAAATATGAATGATTCTACCACCAATTACCAGAATTAGTCTAACATTAGCTTCATTATTGCATTGAATAACTTACTTTCTGTGAGTTAAAATATTACCACCATGGTTCAATTCTCATGTCTATTGTTTTAGTTTTGCTCCTATATTTCGTAAATTATATTCCAGAATGTAAACAAATACAACATCTAAAAAAATCATGATTGAGATGGCAAACATTGCTGATATATGAAAAACCTCCAGTGTGTGTAGAAGGAGCATGTTATAAACATAGGCAGTTAGTCCTGCGTTGAAAAAGTAAAAACGATGTTTGAGAAGATAGATAGAGATTCCACCCAAGGGCACTTTAATTTCTTTATTCTTATTCTATGTTACTTAAAACAATAATCCGAGGAATAGGAGATCATGTGCAGTTAGTTATGCACATGTAAGCAGTTTGTCATATTTTGATATTCTCAATGCCGAACCGTCAAACAAAGATTTCTTTAAAGGGGAATTGCGAGTCTGCCAACCAGCACTACAAAGCCAAGTGCTTATATACGTAATAAATTCTCTATGAATCACCCCCTTACTGCTACTATCAATAAAATTAGAGATCTTGTTATGAAAGACTAGATGGTCACTTTTGATCACGTTTTTAGATAAGCAAATAAATGTGCGGATTGGTTGGCTCACCAAATTCCTGTCGAAAGTCCTAGAGTTTATATTTTGAATACTCCGCCTTTTAGTTGTATAAATCTTCTGTACGCTGATATGACACATCATATCACTTAACACAGTTTACCCATAGCCTTTTATTCCAAAAAAGAAAAGCCAAGTGCTTAGAGAAAACCCCCACAATGGCTTTGTCATAACCATGCTTCATTGCATTCTTTTGATGGCAAAGTACCCTTTTAGCATTTGGCAACATTTGCCGGTTCCTCTTCATGCCTCGAGTCCAATCATGTCTTCACGTTAATAATGTAGGATCAGAGCAATTTTCAATCGGTCAATTTTTTTTTGGGGTGAGTGTTGGATTATAGTATCCACCCTTGATTGAGAATTGAATATTATTCTATATAAAATTAATTCGTATTTGATTTAACATATTTGGTTAAATTAGTTTTAACAATCGAATATCCAACCAAGCTTTAGAGTATGTTTGGATTAAAAAATTTGCAATTAAGATTAAAATTTAACTAAAGTTAGCAAAATAAGGTTAGAAGAAAAGTCAATAATGTAATTTATGTTTAGATACCTTTTTTTTTTCAAAAGTTAGCTAAATAAATTGAAATTTATTTGAATGATTTGATTCAAAAGCAGTTGAGATGTTCACTAGCAAAAATAAGCATATTTTTTTTTATATTTTTGCCTAACTAATAAATAAAAAAAATATTAAACTTAACATTACAATTAAAAAGTAAAATATCTTAAATATTCAATCATGAACACCTAAAATAAATTCATATTTAATTGATATGATTTACGAGTTGATCTTTGATTATATTATGAACATGTTACATCTATCTTGGCAATCTAGGTAGATTTGACTAGGATGGCTCACCAATATTGATATCTTCTTCATGGACATGTACACTTTCATTTTTAGCTTGTGTGAATTGCTCATCAATAATTGAATTTCTCCTGATAAATTTATGTATTGCCATTGCTACACAAACAATTTGAACTTGTGTTTTATGTCTAAATTTGGGCACTTTTCATATAATTACAAACCTATTCTTTCACACCCTAAAAGTTCTTTGTATGGTACATCTCAAACTTGAATGATAATAATTGAATATAGTATTATTGTTTGTAAATCCTACAACTCACTTGAAGTCTAGAAAGTGATAACGTTTACAACGATATGGATCAAGATACCTATTTAGTGTTAGATAATTAGAATCAACCAGATAATATTTACCTATTAAATAAAAGGAAGTATTGTAAATTTGATTAACATTAAATCAATGCAATAATAATTATAGTGACTTTAATAAAATATACCTATAGGTGGATGTGAAAATTCATTGAAGAGTTGATATGACATTATCAAATACTTGAGCATCATAAGCTGTACCTTCCCATCCCGCAATCACAATAGTAAAACACATGTTTCAATCACAACAACCATGATATTTTATGTTACATATCTCTTTCTTTCAATAAATTTGATTTGATCAACAATACTAACCACGCATAGCACATAAGTGTCATTAATTACTTCTATAGCATTCTTAAAGAATGGCCAATATTATGGATCATTTTGAATTGTTGAATGACATCGCTGAAACAAAAGATTAAGTGGTTTTATATTTGCCTTGGCTAGGTTAAGGCACACAACTAATACTTTATGATAATTTTTATGAACAGTTTTTCCTGAATGTTGAAATCGTTCTTGTATCATCCTATTACAAACTATATGTTTAACAATATTTAAAAACATTCCAACTATTTCTTCAACTCTTATTTTTTTAGACCAAGATCAACTAATGTCATGTACAGTTGTTTAAACAAATGTTTTTCCATTCGAAACATTTCATAACAAAGATCAGAATGACCTGGCAAAATCTTATTGACCCACATATGGCATTACATATTCTCTAACTAATTGACATGTTCCCTCTTGCTCAATTATATCTTGCTGTAATAAGAAAAGTAGTTGATGCACCACATCTACATCCCAACCTTCATTCCAACCTAACATATATTCATTTGAATCTTTCATTATTGTTCAACCTGAGGTAAAATAGTATATAAATATCATTTATATACAATATAAAATAAATAGTATGTAAATATCATTTGTATGTGATATAAAATATAAAATATATAAATATCATTTGCATATAATATAAAATAAATAGTATAAAATATCATTCAACATCATGAAAAAATAAAGCATGAGATAAGCATTAGATAAGAGTTAAATATTTACTACAAACAAGTCATCATATGTATAGCAAACTACAAGTCAAAATAAAACAATTATAAGTCAAAAACAAGTCAAGTCATCATAAGCCTATATAAATATTCATCTACATGTATTCTTTAAAATAAAATTTGGTAAATTATGGATTTGATGCTTCAGCCAATTGACCAAGTGATCAGGATGATTTTTAAGTTGCCAATAAGCATCCTGTATAGGCTTATACAGAATAAGATTGACACATCTTTAATGCAAATCTTTATCATTAAAAACTTTTGAAAGTCTATTTAGGTGAGCCACAACCTTCGAAATGCCTGGCATTTGTCAAAATCTTATTTACTTTCTATGTTCTAGCTTTATTTTTCTTAGCTATTTCACTCTTAGCATTTACTATTTTTATTGAGGTAGGGACTTTCTGCTTTTTCCTCCCACCAACTCCTCTGACTCTCTTTCTTTTGCCTTGACTTCCATCACTACTAGTTCCACTAATATTTCTGGTTACATTCAATCCTAATAGCGCATCAGTGAGCCCCTGTCGGTGCTGCACCGTCAAATAAATTAAACTCTTCTTTACTATCACCAAATCCTTTTTAAAGGTCAATGGTGGGATGGTATACATTTTCATCATCATCATCCTCTATTTAGGTTTGGGTAGTAGATAGTACAAAAAGTGTCTCCTCAGTTTCTAAGACATCCCTGAATATCAAGGTCAATTTCCTTGTAAACCTCAGCCCTTTATGTTTAAATTTTTCATATAGGGGATTTTCTTGCAAGCATTCAAGTAATCAACAATTAAGATTCTCAAATTATATTCTAATCTAAAAAACATTTACTAACTAATTCATACCAAGATTTTTTGCTCCCACCACTCATTCAGAGCATCGACAGTATTCTTGACATTGTCCTATCAAGTTAGTTTCACTGAAAATAACTTATACTATATGCTCCATTCTTTCTTCGTGTTATCCAGCCTATTTTTTAGTTGCTTTTGCTCATACCTTTTTCCTGTTTTGCCTCAAACCCTTCTATTATTGCTTGCCAACCATTTTTGTTGAAAACAATTCCTTTTCTTTATTTCTTGTATACTTGATCTAAGCATTTCTTAATGAAATTTTTTGTTGAGGTTGAATTCCCCATAGTTTTTTCTTTTTTCACTAATCATTATTCCATAGATTGATCAGCTATCACAAACATACAAAATCAATAAATATATTTGCATATATGTATCAATTTAACAAATTTTATTCTCTAGATTAATTCATACAAAAATAGGAAGAATCACCAAGCATACATGAAAATGAAGCAATACCAAGCATTCAGTCAAGAAAAAAAAACAAGAATCACCAAGGATAATCAGAAATATAGAACAGGCCAAAAATAAAAATGGAAATGATAAGCTTCTCCTTCTGCCAAGGATAATCAAAAACTTCCACTAAGAATCATCACCAAGCATTCAAAAAAGGCAAGAGACCATTCATTTAGGGAGTCAAGCATAGTCGAGCATAGTTAAGAAAAAGAACAAGAAACAAGGAGTCGAGCACAATTGTCCATTCACTCATACATAATGCAAGAGACCAGAAAAATGAAAGAGACTAGAAAATGACCCTTATTTCAATCAGCAAGAAGCAGGTAACGAAAAAGGCAAAAGAGATGATGAAGGTTTAAGATGGACTGGAGATGTGAAAAGAGACGATGAAGGCATGGCAAAGCATGACGACAAGTAAAGAGATGAAAAGAAGAAGCTTACTTGGCAAGGACAAGCGAAGGGAACTAGATCTGGCGACGAGAACTGCAGATTTGGTAGCCCACGATAGGGATCGAGAGGCGACAGGGAGAAAAACCACTTCCGAGCAGGCACACATCGAATGCAAGAAAGGACGACAGAGAGTTGGAGATTGGTCGGAGGTTACTTGCTTCAACATGGTAGAGATAAGCTTGGACGGCACCACCTATGAGCAATGGAGGTGAAGCAGATCTGGAAAGTTTAGAGCTTGCGAGGTCATAAGAGAAAGAAAACACACACAGTAGGAATGAAAAGCAGAGCTCGTAGTGGTAGATAAATGAGAAGAGGGAGAAAGTATAAAAATTTAAAAGCTAATCAATGCTTCTAATAGCCATTGATTGACACAACACTGAGGAAAAAGCCAACATTGATGGTTTCTCAAAAAATGCCCATTTACCTTTAATTAAGGTTAATTTTTTTGTTAATCCAAACACTATTTTTTGATCTTTTTATATCCTAACCTCAATTTGGTCCATTCTAACTAAGGTTAAAAATTACTCCAAACTAACACTTAATGTTTTAAGGTCAGAGATCGGGCCATAAACTCATAAAAAGAGTGGCCCTCCTGTTGTTCAGTAATAACCTATGAGGCTATAACCATAAGTCCATAACCAAGATCAAAACAAATTGGAGACTCCTTTAAATTAATGGGATAAGGCCCAACACGCTCAGCTCAGCCTTTTAACAAAACTTAGGACTTAGGATTACGTCTAGAACATGAAAAACTTTTGAGCCCAGAGCATGAGAGATGAAGGCTTTAATAAAATTCTTGCTGGCTGTGGGGTTCGAACCCACGCGCACTTATGTGCAGAAGATCTTAAGTCTTCCCCCTTAACCTCTCGGGCAAACCAGCGCTGTGATTGGGTGTCTTCTTTTATAATTTATTACCTAAATTCATTTGACGGACTCCACCTACTAAGAAGTTAGAACCATCTAGAACTCAGACGAAGGTTACATGATAAGGGCAATATGAAAACTATACGGAACTTCAGGTGGATCCTCATCAATTTTGTTCTGCTTGGTGAGGCGAAGGGCTAGGGTTTCCAATGGCGGAGCACTTAGCATCCATATTCGGTACTGAGAAAGACAGGGTGAATTGCCCTTTTTATTTCAAGATCGGAGCTTGCAGGCACGGAGATCGATGCTCGAGACTCCACACCAAGCCCAGCATTAGCCCCACTCTCCTGCTCTCAAACATGTACCAGCGTCCCGACATGATCACCCCCGGCGTCGACGCCCAGGGTCAACCAATTGACCCCCGCAAGATTCAGGACCATTTCGAGGTTTTGTCGCCGTCCTTTTTCTTTCTATGTGCTGAGGTCGATCTTACCACTTTTCATTAAATGTTATTTTTACATTGATGTCGTGAATGCAGGAATTCTATGAAGATTTATTTGAGGAACTAAGCAAGTATGGAGATATCGAAAGCCTCAATGTTTGTGATAACCTCGCCGACCATATGGTATGAATTTTTCGTCTTTATCGATACTTTGGCTGTATTATTTGCTTTCAAGTTTTTTTGGGTCCTGGTTTTACTTGTTCATACACCCAAAGGAATGCTATTAAATAGCCATCCCCTTCAAAAATATAATAGAGGATGAGGAAGAAGATATGTTGTGCCAGATCAATCGATCCTCTGAATCTAAGTTCCTTGATGCATTTTGGCAGGTGGGCAATGTGTACGTTCAGTTCAGAGAGGAAGAGCATGCTGCAAATGCGCTTAAGAACCTAACTGGGAGATTTTATGCCGGTCAGTCTTCTTATTTCCGTTTTTATTTTTTCTTTATTTAAGCGTTGTTCTTTTTTCCAAATGACTGGTCATCTAATTTCAATGCATACTAAGATGTAATGATCATCAAGTAGCATTGGCTAGGGTACATGCTCTTCTGAATGTGATATCAAATTACGTGCTATTATCTGCAGAATAGTCAAGTGAAGTGAAGTTTATATCTGTTTGAACATCAATCTTTGTGTGCAGGCCGGCCAATTATTGTTGACTTCTCGCCTGTAACGGACTTTCGTGAGGCCACCTGCAGGCAGTATGAGGAGAATACTTGCAATCGGGGTGGCTATTGCAACTTCATGCACTTGAAAAGAATTAGCAGGTGAGGATTTCCTCCGATTTTCAAGTTATGGGCAATTAACAGCACTCTTTTATTTTTGGCATCCGACTTAGAATTTTTTTTTTTTGGGGTAAAATTGGTATCTGCAGGGAATTGAGGCACCGATTGTTTGGGAGGTACCGTATCAAGCACAGTAGAAGCAGAAGCAGAAGTCCTTATAGACATCGAAGCCATGAGGAACGTTCTCATCATAGTCATAGCAGAAGGCATGATGACAGAGACTATTATCATGAAAGTCGAAGCAGGAAACACAGGACTGTAAGCCCTAGGCACTGGAGGGGAGGGAGTCGCAGCCGTAGTCCTAGAGGGAGGAAGAACCGCAGTCCTGATAGAGAAGGCAGTGAGGAGAGACGTGCCAGAATTGAGCAATGGAACAGAGAGAGGGAAGACCAAGAACACGCAACTAAGGTTAATACTGAGGTGAACAACAATGGTGGCATCAATCACTCTGGCCCCCTGCAAAATGGTAACGGGTATCAACAGCGGCAGCAACCTCCACAGGAAGGAGGATATGGATACTGATTTTTATTTATGCAATCCTCCTGGTTTGTGTTCTCTCTTTATTCCTCGTAAATTATTTTTTGTTTTAATATTTCTCTAGCCCTAGATGAAATTTTGCTTTCAGTGTAGACTGTCCTCAAAATAAAAGCTTATTACCCATTTTCCACTGTGCAGGTGGTGCAGGTGAACAGTTCTGTGATATGGAATGTCTTTCCTCTGTTCTTTTTAAATCATAACATATGGGATTTTCTTTTTCTCTCTTTGCATAGATCATTCATGACTAGTTTCCCAAATTATTTCAAGATTTTCAGCCTTTTTTGAGCCCGGGTCATCAAAGTCGGTTGTATTTTATTCTTTTGTTGGCCGTCATTTGTGCTAGAAAGCATTAGAAATATTGAGCCCTTCCATATTTTCACGCAATAACGGGAGCTTAAAAGTCATGGGAGAAAGCTATTTATTGTTTCTTCCTTCCACTGTTCTTATAAAATTTCAAACGTGTTCACCATGTTTGGGCTAAAACGTACCAGCAATTCCTGTTTTTAACAAATATTATTCCTTTATGCAATCCTTGCCAATTTTTTTGATGCCTCGCTTGCTGCCTCTTCTTTCCACGTCCTTCACCTGCTGGGCAGTGATCTTAGGGCTTCCCACTTTTTGCAATTTTTCTCTTGAAAAAATATGGGTCTGTTGACGAAGATTATTGAACGCATCTGTGGTCTATATTATTTTCAAAGAAACTATTTTGTGTCTAGACCATTTAATGCGTGAAGTTAGGGTCGCGGATGATTTACTACCACGTATATATGGATGAAACTCTGATTGATTCACTTGGTGCATGCATGCATTGTTTTACAGTCAGGGCCACTGATGAAGACTGTTGAACGACCAAATTTCGATGATTCTGTATGGTGTTTTGATTTATATGAGATCCGTTTTACCGTTAATTTTTTTAAGGGGGGAAGAAGTTAAATAGTCATTATCTTACGTTGTTATTGAGTTTTGCAGGTTCAGGTGTCCCTGATTCTCAGGACCGAGCCATTGATTTAATTGCAATTTACCATGAAATTTGTACAGGTTTTCCGGGAGCTCTCTGGCGGCACATGATTTAATGGAATCTTTCAGGTTTTGATATGGAGATATATTGAACAGCATTTCCTCGTGCAAGTAACTGTTAGAATGTATCGTAGTAGTTGGTGACGCTATCTGCTGCAACATATCGCATTTCATATTATTGGCTAAAGTAGAACTGATGTTTCTGTTTGTAGCATGTAGCACTTGGTGGAAGTTGTCATTTCAGAATCTTGGTTTGAACAATTCGCAGCTTGCACCAATGTCGTCTATTTTCTTATTAGCAGGAAATAATGCCTCCAAAAATAGTCACTTTTAATAGTTTTCCTTCGTGTGATGGGAAAGTTTGCAAAATCGCACAAGAAAAATGTAATATCCTTTGCAAGATTCGGTGAAGTGTTTATGATGCCTTTTTTTTTTTTTAATAAAAAAAGGTCTTTTTTAAGGTGAAAGTAATAAGCACAACCTTGGGTTTGAAGTAAAGGACGTGCTGGAGTATTTTGGTGAATTTAAAATGTAAGCAACTTTTTTGTAATTAAACGGCCAGTCTCGTTTTTCGAGTGGAAGGTATGTCTGATGAAATGAAATCGAACTCTACATGTAAGTTTGATAGTGCGAAGTGAATTGTGTTTTGTTGTGAAGATGAAACTGCGTTGAATTAAAATATCCATGATGAATTACATTGCAAGTGAATGAGGACAATATAATAATGTAATGGAGAGTAGATAACCCAGTTGGGCAAGGGTTGAAGTTCATTTAAGCGATGGCTCCCATAATGTACATTTTGAAAGAGTTGTCTGTGGACAACATCCGTACTTGTCGATCGTGGGTGATTATCTAGCTCAGGGATGAGGATCTTCAAGCCTTACATTGTCTTAACTCGAGGGTACTGCGTGTAGTTGATAGTGAGTGTAAGTTGGCTTTGGTAAGTAGAGGCCAACATTTTGAAAAGATTATGTTAACTTATGTTGATTGTCATTACAAAAGAGGGGATGTTAGTGAATTGTCATTTTTGTGTTATGAAAGCCATCTTTATTTTTGAAGGATTCATGCCAATTCGATGTAAGAGCACCTTTTCGTCTGAATTTGATCCATTCCAAGTTACTGCGTTCATGGCATGCTTTACAAGAAAAGTAATATGTAATATTGTGCCATTTCAAAGTTCAAATTACTGATATATATTTTGCATGAGTATAACCAGTGTCCTAATTTTCAGGGTTAGCTTAAAAGGAGACAAAATATGTTATTAATGTTGGCGACAAATCCAATTACATATGAGTGTCACTGTCATTGGCAGAGTTTGGCACATAATAAATCTTGAAGCAAAGAATCCAATCACCTAGTAGCAACTAGTAGCAATGAGGACATAGCCATTGTTGTGTAGCTCCAACCCTTGTGGGCCTAGCTCATAAGCTTGATTTTTTATTTTTATTTTTTTTAAGACTCGGTCTTTATTTGAAGAATTTAGGACCGAGCTTGCAAGCCCTGTTTAAAAAAAATTAAAATAAAATTAAATACTATAAATTAATTAAAATATTTTGAAATTAAAAAAATTAAAATTTTTATAATTTTTTAAAAATTAAACAACACACATTTAGAAGTTTAGTAATAAAATTTAAATCTTAGTTAAAAAAGACGTTCATTTTTCATAAATACACAAATATAATAATTATAGAAAAATAAAAATATCAAAAATTTTATACTGTACATTGATATTTATTAAATACTTTTAGAATAAATTAAATTTAATAATAATATAACGCGTATAGGATCAGAAGTTCAAAACTTTTTGGCTTCAAACGTGTATTCCACAAAAAAAAATTAATAATAATATAATCGGGTTTGAAGGGCCGTCTGAGCTTGAGTCTTTTTTTATAGGGTTTATCATGGACAGGTCCTCAAACTCAATTATTTTTAAAAAATAATTTTTAAAATTTAAACTCTTATTTAAATAGGACCTCTAGGGCCGGTCTTTATTTTCAACTCTATTATTGCATACAAGTCATCCACTAATTTTCTATTATGAGTAGACTTTGGAAATTGAGTTAGTATTGTGGTAATCAATTTAGTCACTTGATAGTAATTTTTTGGTGTCACGAGTCACTTGATAGTTATGAGCATATGAAATTATTGAATTTTATGTACAATTTCAATCTTTACATTTTGTAAATTGCCTTAAAATTACTGTTCCTTGTACAGTAAAAATACTGTTTTTACAGTAAAAGATTACTGAATGTTTTGTTATATGCGTTTTTTTTTATAATTATAAGACAAAAACCTATAATTTTGTGTTATAATTAAAATTACTGTTCCTTGTACAGTAAAAAAATACTGTTTTTTACAGTAAAGATTACTGAATGTTTTGTTATATGCTTTTTTTTATAATTATAAGACAAAAAAACCTATAACTTTGTGTTATAATTAAAATTACTGTTCCTTGTACGGTAAAAATACTCTTTTAGAAGTAAAAAAGATAGCTTAATGTTTTGTTATATGCTTTTTTTTATAATTATAACACAAAAAACCTACAATTGTGTACCCGAGTAAACTCTCATAGCTTACGAAGTAAACTCTCAATCTTAATTTATAAAATATATTTGAGAGAGATTTAGCACTTTAAAATATAAAATATTTTGATAAAAATAAAGTTTTAAATTTTATTAATGATATTTTTTTAATATTACACTTTCTATTATAGTCTGTCTCTTTAATTTTTTTTGTAAATGGAGCATTAAAAAAATAAATCATTCTTTAACCCTGTGCATCGCGCGAGGGATTTTTTAGTTATTGGTATAAGTATTGATTGATCATAGAAATATTTAGAATTTATCAAGTGATTTAGTATACTATAATAAAGTCAGTACTCATAATAATTTCTTGTAAAGGGTTTAGGTAATATATGATGAGAAGTTGAGAAAGAATTTCTTTCTTTATCGTATCATTACAAAGAAATGATAACTTGCCATCACTCATTTCAAGCAATAAATTTGATAAAAGTTTTAGCTTGTCTTTGTCTTAAGAAGTTGGGCTTGAGGCATACTTTTGTTAAATTGATGTGTAAAAATTGCAGATTGAACATCAATTTCAAAAGGTCAGCTCAAATTATTATGAGAAATTCTTAATTGAACATGCAATATATTATGGGAAAAAAGTTAAAAGTCTTAAAGATGTATTGAGATTCAGTTTTCCATGAATCAATTTGATGCCCCTTCATGATTTCGCTCCCTAGTGTGTTGCATGAGTTAATTATTAATAGTGCATGAGTTTAAATTTTATAAATTGTAGTACAATTCTTTTCTTTTGTTGTGACCAAAGGATTTAAAAGAGATAAGGAAACAAATCAATATGAATCGTTAAAGGAAGAATGACATTTTAGTCTCAAAAGACTAATTTAATCTCAGTAAAGTCCCTAAAAATTGAGAAATGTTAATAAAGTCCCCAAGTACATTAATAAAAAATGAAAAGATGAAATCACCCCATTCTCTCTGTATTGCAGCAGGTGATGTAACGGTTTAAAAATCACGTCTCCATGTTTACGAGTAATCCTAAAAGCTCTATCTCTCTCCCCGGACAAAATCCAAAATTCTAGCTTCTAATCTATAGACAAATTAAAAAAAATAAAAAAAATTATGAACAGAAATTTTATCAACTATAACGATTAACATTTTCTTAGAAAAAATATTTTACAAGATGTAGCTTATACTCCCTCTAAATCACAATATAAATTAATTTTTAAAAATTTTGTTTGGTCAAAAACATAAGACAATGATAGAAGTTACATGTATTTTTCAATTACTCCAATCATTTGTTAAAAAATGTAAATTTTTTTTAGAATTTAAATATTAAAAAATATAAGATATTTTTAATGTTTCAAGGTATAATTATTATACATTTTTCAAAAATATTCAAAATAAATAAATTATTTTATATTTATTTTAAGGTGACATCCAATTAAATTTTGGAAAAAAAACCCTATTAAATAAAATTAAATATAAAAATATAATATTAGTTTAAAAATAAGTAGCTAATTTATCAGAAGGCGAGATTCGATTAAAAATATAATATATTTTTTAATAAAAGGATTACACCCATACTTTATTAAGTAATTAATGAGGGTGTTTTAAATAAATTAAAATTATATTTATTAATTATAAAATGTAAATTTTTTAGAAAATCAAAATTTTAAGCAACTTTTTTGAGACCATTAATTAACAATGATTTAGCATCTTATATTCGAGAGGGAATGGCTTTTAATATAATATAACAAATCAAAAAAAATTACCAAAATCCAACTACTGCTAAAAGCAATTTGTAAAAAAAAAAAAGTAATTTAACCTACGAATTTTAATATAAAACATGTATTAGTAATTAGTTCTATATAAAACTGAAATATATAATTATAAAATAAAAATATATTACAAGTTATTTTATAAATATTAAATTATAACAATTTTAAATTATTAATATTATATTATCAATTTAACCTAATAATTTTAATATAATACATGTATTAGTAATTTGAATAAAAATTTTATTGCAAATTTATTTTGATTTGTTATATTATATTAAAACTTATAAGTTATAACCTGTGAATTATTTTTTTCTAAGAAAATATAGTCATTATGATTGATAAAAATTGCTGTCATAAATTTTGTTTATTTTTTTTTTTTTAAAGAATTTTATTTAGAGATTTAGAATTTGGACTTTGTCTGGGAAAGAGATGGGGGTGATTTTGTCTTTTCATTTTTGGTCTTTCTACTTTCGGACTTTATCAACATTTCCCAATTTTTTGGGACTTTACCACCATTAAATTAGTCTTTTGGAACTAAGTGTCATTCTCCCAATTGTTAAATCCTCTTTAGTATGATTTGATATATATATATATATATACACACACACACACACATAATATAATATAAGAAATGTTATTAAAATCAGATTTTAAAAAATACATTGATTTACTTCTACAGACGAAGGAGGCAAAAGGGGGTAGATCTCCCCTTGACACGTCCTTTACTTCGCAAAAGGAGCAAATGGGAATTTTATAAAATGTAGTGCAATCATTTAAAAAAATAAATATGAATTGTTATACAAGGAGCAACTTTAATTTAATTCATGAGTTAAAAGTCATGCTTACCTTTTAATTACACCCCCTAGCAATATTCTATTTTGACATAAAATCACCTTTAAACTTTTCAAAATGAACAATATTGCTCTTATCGTTAATATTAATTAATTAGTGTCATGGGTCTCACAAAACATGACATGTGACGCTTGACATCTAAAGCAGCATCCGGAGGACTTTTTCTTTCATGGTCAATTTCACGTGAAGTCTTCTTCCTTCCATTCCTCTCATACCACCATGGAGGATCCGACTCCAATTATAAAGTGTGGTTGAAGCAACTCTAATTACATGACGCTGCAATAATCAGAGTTGGAGCCTCCATGGTGGTATGACAGGATTGTAAGATGCTGTCAAGTGTAAAGGAAGAAGACAAAGCGTGAAATTGACGATGAAAGAATAAGTCTTCCAAACGCCACTTTAAATGTCATGTATTATGTTTTGTAGGACCCATGACACTAATTTACTGTTAATCAATATTTAATAGCAAGGACAATATTGTTTCGTTTTTTAATGTTTAAAGGTATGAATGTACAAAATTAAATACAGATAATGGTTACTTTCAAGTATATAGTTTAAAGATAAAAATAACCTTTAATTCTTGATTTATTTGCCAAAAATTGTCAATCTTAAAATCCAAAAAATACTCTTGATAACTTTTTATAATTTAAACTCCGTCCATTTTAACTAAATGAAAAATTTGAAAAAATGTTAACTCAAGATGTTATATACTTATAATCATTCCTATGCAGTAGTATAATTAATATATAATACTAATAGTGTCTTCAATTTGTTTTATCTCTAGGTAAGAAATGAGGTGTTAAGTGGTCATTTTTGTATTCAGTTAGATTTTAGAAAAAAAAGTTGTTCCTTTGTAAGATTTATAAACTTATTATCTTGATCAACAATCCAAACTGAATTTGTTAGTTACTAATAATATAATGAATTAACTATATATTTATTAGGACACTTGTCAAATGAGTGTGCATTGCAACGCACTGGATAACTTAAAATTAAACTCTGGTCAATGAGAAATTCATGTGGTTTGAATCCATGAAATAAGTCTTAAATTGAGGAGAGACAGATATAAAGTAAATTGAACTTTTTTAATTTCAATCATACAGAAAAGCACATATAGAGCTATCATACAAGCAATAACTTTTGCAATTGTTAATTAAGACGTCTATATGAACTTAAAAAGAACATTTTGAAGGTGGTGAAACTAGGAATGCTCATGTCATACGTTGCTTCATCTTCCTTTTAGTAATGGAAGTCTTGCATATTTGGCAAATGGTCATGTGTGGATCAACACCCTCTACAATTGTTAACACGGTTTGCAATGCCAATTCCATGATAGGTGTTTGATATTAAATATCCTCTTCCTCTATGCTATTGTTAGGATCTAACTCCTAGCATTGAATACAATGAATAAGTTTGTTACACATTCTGAAGAATAATCATGAACTTGGATTGTTAAGTTTAGAATATATAATAACACTTCTTCAGCACTTGATGATGCCAATGAACATTTTATCAATATACAAAGAATATCTTGGTTAGTAAAAGCAAATTGAAAAACAAGCTGATCAATGCCTTGAGATTTGCCCTGTTGAATTGTTCGTATAAATCTTCATATTCAATATATTCCACAACAATGATTGCAGAATGTCAGGAAGCCACTTTTAGTATTCATGTGATTGAATTGGATCCACCTTGATATTGATGAAGCTGTCAGCATCAATAGAGCTATAACCTATGATGGAATCATGCGTGATGACAAAGGTAATTAGATTAAGGATTTTTTCAAATACTTTGGCCATCAACCCAGCATTACAACTGAACTCTTGGCTATTTTAAAAGGATTTTAGCTTTGTTGGATTGCACGACTCTTTAATATCAATATACATTCTGACTTTGTGGAAGTCTTCTCATTTATTCAGCATAATCTTTTTGATAATTATCCTCTCTTTGAAACCATCAATAAAATTAGAGATTTTGTCATGAAGGATTGGATCATTACCTTTGGCCACGTTTAGAAAAGCGAACAAATGCATCGACTTTTTCACTTACCAAACCTCTCAAGATAATTTAGATCTCATCATTTTTAATCATCAGCCCTAAAGATGCAGATTCCGCTTGAAATCTAACATGACTTGATTTGTATTCTCTTTCTGCACGGGTTTTCCATGGTCTTGTCTACAAAAATAAAAAATAAAAAATCACCTTCTTGGATGCCCCTTATTCTCTCCCAATCTCTCTCCCCCTTTCTTCTTTTCCTTTACCTATCTCACAAAAGATAGACCGGCAGCTAATAAGAGGAAAGTTAACAGAAAAATTGGGTCTTGCAATAAATGACAGTGCTCCTGAAATGCGCAACACAATGGCAAAAAAGAAATGAATGAAATTTCGAAAAATTAAGAGACCCATTGAGCGACAATTGTTTCTTGATTAATTTCGAAAAATATAGGATTGGCATGCGAAGTTTTCTCCTCCAATATACATAATCCTTTGCAAGATTCGGTGGGAAAAAAAAAAGAATTTCTTAAGGTGGAAGTAATTAGCACAACCTCGGGTTTGATGTAAATGACATGCTGGAGTGTTTTGGCGAATTTAAAATTTAAGTCACTTTTTTGTAATTAAATGTGCTCTTTCTAAAATACAATCAAAAGATCTTCCATCATCATCCTACAATGAAGATATCATTAGCGTTCAAGTTCACCAGTGTGTGGATGAGTTACTTTACTATTCAGCAGTAATTTTTCAGCTGCCCACTCTTAAATGTTTTTTTTCCTACATTTGTACCAACATATGCATCATCTTTTACCGTACACCATATATCTATCTAACTATTACTACTATTATGAGGTTTAAGATTGAGAATTGATGATTTTACAACTCTTGCAAGAAGTGTATAAAAAGTCGTTCATGATGGAGCTAGATTTTATTGTGGAAAGTGTGAAGCAGCTGTGAAAAATGTTATTCCAAGATATATAAACCTAATCAGTCTTATTTTGACAACTTGACCATTTATTTACTATTGTGAGTCATTACATATTATTTATCAATCAAACAATTTTTTTTTTCTCATGTAAATATTAATACATACTGATTTTGTTATTTAACACCTAAAAGTGATAAACTAGTGTATTGTTATATTTAAGATCGTATGTATTATATTTAAGATTCCTAAACAGTAGGATCTTTTTTCTTTTCTTTTCTTTTCTTTTTTGGATAGCAATGTAGGGTCTTTCATTAGTATGCATTGGTGCGTTACATTTAAGATTGCACGTAGTACTATGTTTAGGGTTAATGGCTTTTGTTGGGAAAAAGAAAAGGCTAATAGCTTTAATTAAAGATGATTTGGGAACATGTTGATATTTGTTGAAAAAATAAAGACCATCAACTAATTTTAATTATTCTTAAACTGTGATTCAGTCAAAATACCTTTCAATAAATCTTACACTAACAACATGTATTAAAATTCTTGAAATAATTTATTGCCAAGAGCATTAATTTTAATTTATTTTCTTCACTTTTGTTTCAGTTTAGAATAATGTTCAATTTATAGCTTATATCCATTTGAATACATCAAATATTGAACGGAAGATGTTGCCATGGATCTTCCTATTGAATTCCATGTTTTCGACTTACAAGAATCTTGGTTATATATTGGAAGCCGAAATTCATGAAACTCTCCCTCTGAAGTACCCTGAGGAAGTTTCGTCCTTTTTTTTTCCCTTCTTGGGGAATTTATGTTTCATGATGCTTATTCAATCCAAGACGATTCGAATGAAATTCTGAGAATATGCTCTTCCATGCCCAATCAAAAGGGCATGCGTCCTTTGGAAAGGAACCTACTTGCTAATGGATATTATTAAAACAAGGTCTTGTAATACAAAATCTTGTACATGTCAAGAGTTGGAATTTTTGATATTAAAACAAGGTCTTGTAATACAAAATCTTGTATTCCAACTGCAAAATTCCGTTTATTTGTTCACATCCTTCCTAAACCTTATATAAAAAATCCTATATATCTAGAACTAAATCCCTGCAAGCTAGCACTCTCCGTTACCACACCTCTAGGCATCTTCAAATTACTGGCATTTTTAAGCATAATTTTTGGCCACAGAATTAATGAGCCCGAAAAACGATGATCAATACGAATACCCAGTGAAGTACCAAACAAGACAGCTCTCACCCGGTCACACCAAAGAAAGGGGTACGTTTTTTCCACATCTCCACGAAAAGACCAATAGCATCAAGTTCCATGTAATGAACTGAGGACTCCCTTTCAATGCGGTTCCGCATTCATGATTAGCATCGCAATTGGAGAACATAATGAAAAGCATTAAACTCCCTCACAATCCTTTTAAAAAAAAAGTATTAAACCAAAGCTCCTAGAAGCTTCATTTGCCCTTGATCACCTAATTGTGGCACTGATTTAAATTGAAGTTTTATAAACACAAACATTTAGGAGCTCAGTAATGTCAACCAACAGTCAAACAAGTTTAGACACCTCATGCACACCAATGCCAATGTTTACTATGAGACCAAAATAGCAAGGATAACAACCTAATGTCCTCACCGCACTCATGGTAATACCTAATTCCTAATAAACAAAATATAACTTGTAGATGCTAGTACTTAGTATCACTGACCCCCATGCTTAGCCTTCGAATGTTGTTGCAGACCCCCTTCTGAGGTAAAAGTCCTACATTACAAATAACATAATAAAAAAGATTAAACACAGGAAAATCCAACAAAACTATACTTTTTTGTTGTTGAGGTCGAAAACATACTTGCTACAAGATTTGCAGGCAAACTGTCCACCGGATTTGGGAGTTTGGTCACTTTTTGGAGTCTTTCCTTCCTTCTTCAGAGGATGAGGAGTGGCTACATGGCCACCCTTCTTACCATCTACAACATAACTCAAACAGAAGATATTAACCGTCTACATATTGATATCATCCATATTCAACACACAAACGAGCTATCGAGACTACTTATAATGTTCTGAATAAAGCTTCACCAATTTAAACCAGGATACCAGCACGAGCTTGATAATTTCCACGCACAGAAAAAGAAAATTCTAAAAACAATGAGATAATGAGAAGCGGTGGGTTCTAAACCGATTCCTTACCAACCTTTGAATCAATTTCCATATCATCTCCTCCAACACCACCACCAGCAATGGAAACTTTATAAATAACTGATACTAAATACATCCAAGAAATGTAATCAGATCTAAACACGCATCCAACCCAGACCCTCCTTATTGGTAAATGATTTATCCCAGGTTAAGAGTTCCTAAATATCTATGCATATATTAAAAGTCAAAGAATTAAAAAGATTTATCAAGGAGTAAAGCATATTAAGAAAGCCTTACCAGTCTTTTGAGGGGTAGCAGATTTCGCTTTCTTGGCAGGGACAGGAGTTTTCATTGCAGAGTCGTTAGGTCTCTTCTTAGCCTGATCAGCCTTCAAGAAAAATTATTAGGTCATGCATTGAAAACAAAGTAACCCTGAGATAATAGGAATGCACAACTCTCACCTTCTTAGGAGGGGTTTCATCATCATCTTCATCACTCTCATCATCACCACCATCAACAAGGCCGCCAACCATTTCCTACAACATCAATTGTGCAAAGATAAAAATAATATTGCACAAAGGCATGCTATAACCACGTCAATAAGATACCCTTCATTTGGGGTAAAATAAGCAAAGCCAAATTCTCTGGTCTTTGAACCTCAAAGAACAAAGTTTAACAGAAACTAAACTAAAAATCCCTAAAGCACTTTCACAATGTTCTTTTTTTACCAGATTCTGCATATGGGATCAAACAAAAATACAACCTAACACCTATTTTTTCAAAGAATAATGGACAGTGAAGTATGAAAAATATCACCAAAACTACTATGGTACCTCATCAGAACTGTCATCATCAACCTCGTCATCTGATTCATCATCCTCATCATCTTCAGATTCATCTTCATCTTTCTTTGGATCCACAACCTTCACTTGCTTCTTTGAATCAGCAAGCTTGACATCATTACTTTTAGATGCGGCAGCCTTTGCTACTTCAGGCTTTATATCAGGTTTTGCTAAAAAAGACATGCATTAGTTACCCTAATACTCAAAATCTTGTTTAAGCAATATATTTGCTAACAAGAATTTCAGAATCAAAAAGCAATAATACCATTATCTCTGGTCATCACCGGGATATCCTCATCATCCTCGCTGTCTGATCATGTGACACAAAAAGCAAGTATAAACAACTATCATATTCCAAGACCAATAAGATTCACAAAATAAGTTTTAAGCCTCACCAGTGAAGTCCTCATCGATCTCCGTGCCACCAGCAATCAATCTGATGTTAAGGAAAAAATTGAAGTTGACGAAATTTTTTTGTTTTTGGATGCCAGCTTTCGAAAATGTTAAACATAAAGCAATTGCGATTCTTTGAATCGGCTTGCTTTAGCCTGTGCATAAAATCACCATGACTATGGGAGGAAAGTTCTAACAGAAAAAATTAGATAACACAAGAAGCTGAAACAACTGCAAAGGATATCCTGGTAATTCCGCTTTGTAACCACAGAAATAAACACTTCCATGTTTCCAATTGTGAGAGAGCTCAAACTTTTTCTCTAGAACCAAATCAAAAGATAGTTGAGGGAATTTCTCCTGGGAAAGGGTTCCTAAAACAAGCTTCTGGTCACCAAACTTCAGATAAAGGATCACAGGTTCACTTGCTTTATTCTTTGCCTCACCAAGAGCAGCCTGCAAAAAGATATATGAGAGATTTTGCAACAAAAGTAAAAATACAAAATTAGTAAAAATGGAAAACAGAATAGCAAGCAAAAACAATCTCACCTGAGACAGGTGTATGCATTTATCAAAGTCATCTGGATCTACTTCAACAGGTGCCCCAGCCTTGACCTCAACGCCTATTGCCAAAATAAAAGTTAACATAATATCAGTAAACACCGCAATTTCCAAACAATGTCAACACTGGAAGGGGACTGCTATGCCTTTCCTCATTACACATTCAAACACAGAACCCAATCCATTAACTTCACCTCCTCCCACTCCAAGCCTTAAACCCTGGCCTATTTAATGACAGCATAGCCTAAAGGAATCACTAACTACGATGTCGAGTAAACAAGGCTGATCAAACAGAAGTGCCAACTTCCAACAGGACTCGTACTTACATTACTGGTAAGGAGAAAATACGCCGATTTCCGAAAGAATACATAAAACAAACTAACCCAAAGAAGGAACCACATTTTTGCAAAAACGATGAAGTGAGAAGATGATCACGCATATCGATAAAAAGAATGGGTTGAGGGGGTATGATGTTAAGGGTCGGGCAACGAAAGAGCAGAAGAATACCACTTCGAACTAAGTATAATCAGTAATGAATTTATAAGAAACAAAAATAAACAAACAAACAGAGGATGAAACATAAAAATAGGACAAAGTGGCACAAGAATAATCATCGCGTGGATATACATGGAACACTGGAACGTTTCCACACAAACGTTTTCGGAAAAATAAATGAGAATGGAGGTGAAGCTTACCCCAGAACTCCATTGCAGTAACGAGGAAGTGATTCGAAGACGAATAGGGTTTTCAGACCGAACCCAACAATGGGCAGATACCGATTACGAGTTGGCGATTTAAAGGCTTTTATAATTGTGTTGCCGCCTTCTAGGGTTTTTTCGGAAAAATGAGTTAACTTTTCACTCAATATAATTAATTATTTTTAAATTTATTAATAACTTAAATTACTGTTTTGTCATTCTTTTAAATTAATTATTTATGAATTTATAATTAGTTGTATTGAGTGAAACTTATATAGAATCCTTTTCTTCTTTAAACTTGTTAATTCTTTTAAAAATAAAAATAAAAAAAACAATCTAATGACAATGATTTATGTAATTGTATGGTTTTTTTTATTTTTTTTATGCCTGAGAGTTTGTTAACGGCTCAGAGTCTCAGAGTTACAGTAAGGACAAGAAATAGAGTTAGATAGAAGTTTTTATATGTTTGTAATTAAATTTTTAACTGGAATGTTGTAATATATGATTCTTCAATAATCAATATTAATAATTAATAATACAATAATATATTGTGTGCGTTATGTAATTAAAAATAATATAACTATGTATAAAAATCATAATTATAATGAATATTATTTATATAATTATTTATATAATTATTTCTCCGTTTATAATCACAATTTTCTTGCTGCTTGTTTGGGTTTGGACTCCTCTTGGATTCTAAAGAACACAAGATTGGGCCTTGCTGGGTTCCGCACCATGGAAAAGCCCAACGTGAGGCCTTCTGTAAGGGAACAACAACTGTGAAAACCCAAAAACCAAACAAAAAAAAAAACAGAGATAAAAGAATGTTAGTGGACCCAAAAAAAAACTTTTCATATAAATTTTTGAACAACCTTCACATTTTGTTCTCTGTTCCCTTACGCTCATCGTCAAGGATTCCCCGTGGCAAGAACAGGAACCAGCTTAGACTAGAGAGAATGAAGAAAGTTCTTGAATGCAGCTCTGAAAGATTGATATTTGCACCACCTTTTCTTGATAACTATGTTTGACACAAAATTTTAGCAAGTTAAAAAAAAATAATGAAAATTTGTAAGTAATATTAATAAAAATAAAATAAATACAGTATGCAAGAGAATGTTTTTATTATCGAATGCGTTATTGCTCTTCTAATGTAACCGAAACAAAAATTTTACCCCGGTAACAAGAATGCACGTAAAAAGGTGGGCGAGGTAAATGAGCTTGAGGATGTTACAGGGTTTGTGGCTGACACTTAGACTGGGTGACACTGACGAGGAGGAATGAAATGTGGTGAAGACAGTGCCAGCTGGTAGGTTTTTTACTTATCGCTTTTGGTCTGATGAGTTCAGAGGCTGGGTCGCTGGGACAAGCTTTAAGGACCGTCAAGGATCTCGGATCTGTTTGGATACTTATTAGAAATCAATTTTAAAATTAAAATTATAATTTTATAAAAATTTATTCAAACACCCTCATTTTACAAAACTATATTTGATTTGAGAAATTTTATTTTAAAAAAATTAAAATTTTTTTTATTTACAAAACTCCATTTAACTCCTTTTTTTATATCATTTATTTATATATTTAAAATTAGTTCTTAAGAAATCATCCAAACACATTTAATTTATTAAAATTAATTTTTAAAAACTTGTTCAAATATCATCACGTTCTAATAATTAATTTTTTATAATTAATTTTTTCTAATTAAAATCCAAACACACCCTTCCATGTTTCTGGAATTTTCACGTTTTTTTTTCAAAATAAACATTACCACTAGCTCCACTCCGAGAAATTTGCAATTTATCAGGTCGAGAACCGTTTTCGCTGTGGCAACTTAGCTTTAAAGATGGAGTGTTTGCCTTCCTGCATCAAAACGTAACTTAGCTTGAATTGAAGCACAACTTTTTTCCTTTTCCTTTCTCTTTTTTTTTTTTTTTGGCCAAGGAGTAGCACAACTTATTAAGGAGCTAAAATGAATGAAAACTCAAGGCTGACTGATTTGATGGAATGGACGACAGACCAAAAAGGGTCCCACAGAGGATAAAAGTCATATTTAAGTGATGTTAGCAGCTCAAAGTGCCTGAATTCGGGCAATTAAAAGCTTATTACTAAATGAATAATAAATCATACTAGCTATCAAATGTGTTTTTTTTAACAAAAAAATGTTCGTGTTTTTTCATTTAAACAGAATGCATGGTAATTGGCCTGTGATGATTTGATGAAACTAAGCGCCATATCCTTTTTTTTTTTTTTTTCCGGTACATGTGCGTATAGTGGTTTTTCTTCCGTGCAAGGGAAGCATCGCAGCATAAAAGCATTATATAATCTCACTGTCCAATCATTTTCGAGACGGTCAAGATGAACGATACAGGCCACCATATGCGCGTGGAATCTGGTAAAAAGGCAGAGCGATATTCGGCACAACATCATTTTCTAATTAAATCAGAATAAATAAAAAAACCCCTAATTTCCTCATCTTCATCATCCTTCAGACATCCTTTAGGCTAACAGCAATAAAGCAATGCACCGTGACAGAGTCATCTCGTCAAGTTACGTTGCACCAACTGTAATCAAATTCTTGACGAGGAATAGCATACTAGCGACCGAGAAAGGAACAATTATGTGACATGCAGGATTAATTGCACTGTGCATGCTCACAACAGCTTAAAGTGGGACCAATATGTACAGGGACATTGCCGCCGACCGAGAGAGAGGTTAGCGGTGCCCGCGGATGCTAACCAATCTCACAGCAAGAAATCCAACAACTTAAGCCAAGCAAACCCACTCTTGCCAACACGCTCCGCCTCTTTCGAGCACGATCCAAACGCGGTCGTTACGCTTCCGCCTTCCCCGCCGCCACCCTCCGCCGTGCCTGACGTCTGCTTTCTCGGGCACAGCAAAAAATTCCTTGACCCGAGCTCCATCAGCTTCTCCCCTCTATCCAGACCTGCACGCATTCAATTCTGTTTACATCCCCCTATCTTTAATTTCGAACGCCGCGATGCGCAATTCCCAAAAGCTAAAACTAATACTACATGTATATATCTATGATGATTTTTTATTTTAAATATAATAAATTATTAATTTCTAAGAAGGTCAAAAAACAATGTTCAAGCGATATTTAAATATAAATTTTTCAGTGGAACTAGAGGTCGGTTCCATCAATGATATTTTATAGATATTATATTATAATAATAATGTTAGTTAATACTTTATCTTGATTCATGTCCTTGGAAATTCTTTGAATCCTTCAAATCATATTAATATACATGCAAATATTTCAAGAACGTTAAAAAACCAGAAGAAACCATGAGGCATGGGAATTCTTCTGTATGCTATGAATTACTGAAACCAGAAGAAATGATGATTAAAAAACCAAATGAGAAAGAGATTCTTATCGTGAGACTCACTTTCTAAGCTGAACTGGGAGTAATGGAGGTCAAAGGCGGAGGGATCGGTGGCGGGCAGGATCGGCCGGCGACCTTCTTTCAGGTACTGTCGGACCGACGCCGCCACCAAATCACCCACTTTTGATTCCGGCGTCATCACGACCTTAACCGGTCCCAGGCTTCCCAGAACAGTTACGTGAAGCAGCAGCTTTGGCGGTTGCCGGGGCAGGCTCCCATCCGGCGTCGACCCGGCGTTCTTTCTATGCGGGGCGAGGTCCGGCACAGTCTTTGGTCGGCGCAGTTGAGAGGACATCGCCGCCATCGCGGCGCTCTGGCCGTGAAACGAAGATGATTTATTGCCTAACTTTCCTCTCCGGCAAGCCTCAATGTGGCCGGTGCGGTTGTTTTTGGAGGTAGGCATTGGAAATTATATGTAACCAAGCAAAAGAGGCTAAGTTGAGAGCAGAGAGATAAACTGCGGGGGTGGTTCGGATCACCTCAGTCGGCGGTAACGAACAAATCGGAGGCGAGGAAAGCCGACGGCTGAAGAAGAGCTTAGGCTCAGAATTCGACGGCGACCGGAAGCTATCATAACCAGAAGGCTGTAATCGTAATCAGTGGAACAACGAACGAAGAAGAAACGTGGCTCTGAGCGATTCTGTGTAGAGATTTGTAACTGCACCGGAATGTTTTGTGGCGAAGGTAGTTGGGGATGAGTTATATAATCCTGAACGGGGGCGGATTAGAGTGTGTGGTAAAGCCTATTAAAGAACGACGCGTGTCTAGGCTGGGATTGGTTATGCAGGCGAAGTAGAGGGCTTTTGTGAGTGGATGGGTATTCCGGTGTTGCCTAGAGACGGTGGAACCTGGTGTACTTAATAACTGCCGCGAGCTACTCGCTCATCAATCATCGGTAATTAATTAACCTTTTCCATTTTGTGTCAAGATATAATAATTAATTAACCTTAACTTGTCATTTTTCATTAGTTAACGCTAACGGAGTCAATTAGTCAAATACTCTGATATTAACTAGAAACTAGAAACAAAAGGACTCTTGATATTTTTACACAGAAATTTAGCTTACCATAATTGTATACCATGTATTTTGTTATTGTTGCTTAGCATTTTTTTAAAATAAAAATAAAAATTGACATTTGGAAAAGACATTAGAAATACGTATATATACTCCATTATATATTTTTAAAATTTTTATAAATATACTTTTATATCAAATTACTTTCGAAGTTAATCTCATTAAACTTATTCTTTGCTGCACATTTATTTGATGGTATTGGTGCTACGTAATATATTTAAATATTGTCAGATTAATTAAAAATATTTTTTAACGTGATTTTTTTTTAGCACCCACAACATTTAAACCCTCAGCCCCCTGAAGGAAATCAAGTGATCTATCCCAATCAATTCAACTATCATTTGTTGCTGCAAACTATTTTCTGTATCCAACAACTTACATTCATATATTTAATAATCACCATAAAGCGGAATTTCATGATGATATTAAAACAATCGTTCCACTAAAATCAATAAACAATAGCTAATGAAATTTATTATATGTTCTTTTTTTCTTTTTTTGAGTAAAAACTGAAGCGTCATTCCAATAAAGGAGCTAACATAGTAACGGATACAACAATCCAATGAAGAATAAAAGAGATAAAACCATTTACTACAAAAAAAAAAAAAAAAACACACACACACACACACACACATCTTTCATCAGACAGCATCTATAAGGAAAGATGCAATCTGATCAAAGATCCAAAAATCATTCACTAAAGTATGACCGAAAATGGTTAAACTATCAGCAAAAGTATTATAATCTGTGTATAAAATTTAAGGAAATAGTACAATCCCTAAACAACAAGTTCACAGTAGCCTGAATGATGTCTTCAAAAGAGTGATTCCAGTTTCGAGGTCTGGTGAGTAGGTTAATGGCTTCCGCACAGTCACAATAAATCTCTATATTTCTAAAACCATTGAACCAACACATCTCTAAACCTTTGAGGATTCGTAATATTTCCTCAATAATGGGGGGAAAAAGATCCTAACTTAACACTGTAGCCTGTTAGCCAATCTCCATTTGCATTCCATATATATCCCCCACATGCAGTTCTCCCATTTCTAAGAGTGGATTCGTCAATTTCTAACCGAACACTATCATTACTAGTAGTGATCCAAGAGTGACTCTTCAATGGTGCATTACTTGTAGTGGGATGCTTTCCAACAAACCTATAGTCATTAACAGCATTCATAACACACTTGGGGACAAGATGTCAGGTATCCCAAAATAGGTAAGCAGAAATAGTAGGCCAAGGCATCATATTATAGGAATTCTTTCCCAAAACAGATTTGTAATTCCAAGCCAACCATTTATTACAATCACAATTGTTGAAATTAGTCTAGAATTCAAGTTTAATGATATCCGACCAGATTACTTGAGCAATTTCACAGCCGTGGACGATATGCAAATCTAATTCTAGTACGTTATAACCGAAAGGGCACTGGTCTGATTCGAGCAGATGTCTTCTTGCTCTGAGTTGAGAAGTATGCAATATGTCTTTTGCAAGAAGCCATACAAACATCTTCAATTTTTCTGGCACTGGCCATTTCCAAATATTCTTCCATAAGTTGTCCACTGGGTCATTATTACCTGCAAAAATAAAATGATAGGCATATTTTAAAGAAAAAGAACCAGGATGGTTCCAGAAGAAGATATCCTCTCCCTCACTCTCTCTTGGTAAACAAGTGCTAGCAATCTGGTTAACGGTATTTGGGTGGAGCCATTTCAACATTTTTTGAGCATCTCAAGTCCCCTCATTCAAAATGAAATCTCTCGTAGTATCATTCTCACATATAGGCTGATTTGTCACATTAGTAAGGCTAATAAGAGGAACCCCAAAGTAGACCATCTGTCATACCAAAATTGAGCATGATTCCCAAACACAATTCGTCTTCCTAAACCCTCCTCAAACTTTTTCCAAACTTTAGAGATGCCCCTCTAGGCTTCAGAAGTAATTTTCTTGTTCTTTACGATAGGCACACCTTATCACCACATTTATATTTAGTATGCAGCACTTTGACCCATAATGATTCTTTTTTTGTTACTGAGTACCAATATAGTCTCATCATGAATGCTTTATTTTGCATTCCTAGGTCCTTGATACCTAGGCCTCCTCTGTCCTTACCTTCTTGCATTTCCTTCCAGGAGACGAGATGCCTCTGTTCCTCCCCGTAAAAGGTTATGACTAGTTATATCAAATTTATTCAGCGCTTTTTTGGGAATCAATGTAATCTGCATATGATAGCTAGCAATAGTAATAATGACTGATTTCTACAAAGTCGTCCTCCCAGCAAGATTCAAATATTTACTTTTCCAACCTGATAATCCAAGTTTGACTTTATCAATGATAGGTTGAAGTGGTATCCCAAGGTCTCTCATCAAGCTCACTCCCGATTTGCTACTGGGTGCTAAGGCTCTAGAAAAGTGAACATGTCTTGACATGCACATTTTTGTCTTCCCTTCGTTTACTCTTTGTCTTGAGGCGCTACAAAATTTCTCCAAGCATCTTATCACGGTTTCAATTTGTACATTAGTTGCTTCTCTGAAAAGAACAAGGTCATCTGCGGAAAAAAAAGGTGGGATATAGCTGGCCCTTCTTTAACTAATATGACTGGTTTTTAATTCCCCAACCTTATTTCATCTTCAATCAAATGGCTGAGTTTCTCCATGCACAAAATGAATATACATGGAGATATTGGGTCTAATACCTCTGGCAGGGAGAAATTTATTCGAAGGCTCTCTATTCCAAAGAATTTTCATATTAGAAGTTTCCACACAAGCTCAAATTAATCCTTTTATAGGAGCTTGTAGCCCAGTCTCCTCTAAACATTGGTTTATAAAATGCCATTTCAGCCCATCATATACCTTTTCCAAATCCACTTTTACAGCTAAGAAGCCATTCTTTCTTTGTTGACCTCATGGTGTGGATGACTTCTTGAGCAATAAAAATATTGTCATTACTTTGTTTTCCTGCAATGAAACTGTTCTGATGTTGATCCACTATCTTATCCATGATGTTCTTGATTTGAAGTGTTAATAACCTTGAAAATTATCTTGTACCTCACATTACAGAGCGAGATGGGCTGAAAGTCAGTAATCACCTCTGGCTTATCAATCATGGAAGGGCGAGGGCTAGATCTTCATTTTTGTGCAAGAGAATGTACATAATATTAAATTTCAGTTTGTCCTCAGTCAAAACGAATCAAGAAACATATACAGTAATTGTGTGTTCCATTTCAAATCCCTGTAATAAATCTATTTGACCTGGATAAGTTTAACACATTGCATGAGAGTTATCAAGATGTGCTTATCTTATCAAGATAATTGGAATTAAAATGATAAATTAAAGGGTTTGGCAGAGAGCGTTTGGGAAATGAGAGGTCATCTGAGGAAGAGGCAAAAGTGCAGAAGGAGGAGGGTGAGAGGATACGCGAGCTGGCGATATGTGCAGCTTGGATTAATATTTGATGAATGAACCCATGATGGTTCACGTAACTAATTATTTGGAATATGATCAGAAAAAACTAATGACTAGGAATGAGAGAGATGACGTCAGGGGCATATGATTGCCTGATTGAGGAGGTTTGGAAGGTAGCAGGGAAGGCATTAACTACATTGGAGACACACAAGTGGGAGGCTGCGTCCAAATACTCGCCCTCTTTTTTGCTACTTTCCATCTTGTTTGTTCATTGTTGCTTTCTTCTGGTCCCAGGTTTGTAGGGCAGCATCATCTTGACAAGTTTTGCTATGCTTATTTATGCAGCATGTGTGGATTTGAACTAATGTAAAAAATCCCATACCAAATAATTTTTTCTTAATAAATAATATATAATTAAATAATAAGGAGTTCATATTATATAACCAACTCAAGTAAATAATTTAATATTTATTTTATTTTGCATTATAACTAGTTTATTATATTTGTCAACGATATGTCATTGTATATCAATGATAAATTCTTTATAAATTTTTTTAATTTTTAATGATAAATCTCTTATATATTAATATAAACTGATCACACTTTTAAATTTTTAAAAATTTAGTCTATTTTCTCATAACACAAGATTTTTTTTTTTTTGCTAGTGGTCAATTTATCCTAAAATAAAAGAACATATAAATCCTATGATTGAGATTTTGAGTTAAAATAGAGTTTGTTTTTACTAGCAAGCCCATTAATTAATTCAGTTTACTGATCAGTTATGTCCCAGAAACGATTCTGTTTAGCTGCTCTTTTCATTATGCTTCTTAATTGATGTTAGAATTAATGAGGTTATGAAAATCCTTATATACTAAAGCATGTGTTCCAAATTAAACTAATATTTTACTACACTAAGTACAGTTGATTGATGAAACCACTCTAATTAACCGCGACATAGACAGGGTCGGCTGGCTACACCCTCCGCCAATACAGACAAACACACTCAAACCTTTTGCCCACCTTGCTCATTCCTTACGTGACTATTTTTCTGAGCTCGACAAATTTTGATTCATTATCCATCATATATACATCTTTTAAAAAATGTACGACATCACGTCTGCAGGTCCCATGCAAAAGTGGCACCATATTCACTTTCTTATAGTTCATCTAGCCACAGGCAAGTGTGCATGAACCTCGTTGCCACCCAGTATCAATC